TCCCTAGCATATTCGATTATTAAGGGGTCTGATCAATCATAGCATATTTGTTCTTAATTTTAATTATAAGAGGTGAGATCAAGTCTAGCACCAAATTAGTGTTTGAATCCAATCATACCTCTCTGCCGATCTAGCATTATAGAGATGATGATACAGCCAATTTATCGAGGATACAAAATGAATCTAAAAATGGACCGTTCTCGAAAACGCTTGCTTCACCAGAAATAATATATAGGAAAAGAAAACATGAGGAACAGTAAATGTTGCAGCAAGATGAAGCTATTTATTCTCATCACCATTAACAAAGCCTCACAAGATAAACGAAAGCCAATGATTTGTCGATCTGCTTCAGTTTATTAGTGGAGACTCGATGAAACTAAGGACACTTGTCTTCTATCATCCATCATATATGTATAAATATGTAATAATCCATACATAACTATTGTCTTCATAATTAAGAGCCAACCTGAAGTGATAACACAGAGCACATGCCATTACCATATTACTAGTCTCACGTACCAATATGCTGCAGCGAAGGGAAGATAACGTTCGATGTAATACATACGGACTACATACTGCACAGAAGGGGGGAAACGCGTGAAGGCAGCAAACGCTCAGCAGTAGGCGACGCACCGCTTCTTGCAGTCGATGGTGCACCCTCCACCACCGCCGCCGCCTCCGTAGCCCTTGCCGGACCGGCTGAAGGAGGAGAAACACTTCGCGGGGCACGTCACCCGCTTCTTGTAGCAGGGACCCTTGTCGGAGCACACGACGGAGGGCCGCACCACCCCGCCGCGCGCGTGCCCGCCGGAGGGACCGCCGAAGCCCGCGCCCCACCCGCCACCGAACCCGGGGACGTTGAACCCGCCGCCGGGGCCAAAGAACCCGCCCGGATCGGAGCCGAACCCAGGGATGCCCGCTCCGCCACCGCCGCCGCCACCGTGGCCCTTGGCTAGCTCCGCGTCCAGGTCGCGTGCAGCAGAGCAGAACGTGGCGGCGGCAGCGAGGAAGAGAAGGGAGAAGAGAAGGCTAGTTTTCTTCATGGTTCACACACACACACTCTCTCTCTCTCTCGTCGTTCTACTATATATTTGTGGTTTTAGCTTGGCTATGGAATCTGATACGGGAGTTCATGTTCTAGAGTAGAAAGCGATGGTTTATAGTGGGGGGGAGGAGAGAGAGAGAGAGAGAGAGAGAATGTTGAATGCGCATTCGAAGGAAGAACTGTTGTTGACATTGACAAAGATCTACTATGGTTCAGACATGTAAATCTATCTCACAATGGCATTACTTTGTCTTTAATATTATAAGTATATATATTGCAATTTTTAAAGAGATATATATATATAAGTACTATAATTTTAATAGGGAGCAACCACTTAAGCTTGATTATTTTTGTGTCCCACTGATCACAGAGATTATCTTATAAATCTTTTATGGTACACTGCAAACCTACTATTCCTTTCCCCCACACGCCCTCCCTCCCTATGAATAAAACAACTGATTGGCAATCTTCTATTCCTCTCACTTTATGTATGTGCATGCGAATCTAGAAAGTAGATCGACCATTGTTTTGTTGAAAGCAAGCACCCAATGGTACTTGAAGGAGCTCGGTGTCACACAATCTATGTGCTGTTCTACAAGAACCGGTTAGTCAAAGTTATATGGCTTAAGCCTAATCTATAAGCTTAAGCTTGTGTGATAGGTATCTGGATGAACTCAATTTATGTGCTGTTCTACAAGAACCGGTATCACACAATCTATGTTCTGTTCTACAAGAACCGGTATCACACAATCTATGTGCTGTTCTACAAGAACCGGTATCACACAATTTAGTCCACAGCCTAATTAATCTCGATATATAGGTATGTGGATGAACTCAATAGCTTAAGCTTATTAGGCTGTGGACTAAATTCAATATATAGTCGGTTGACTCTTCTAGTCGTTAGTAACGTAAGATTATTATTTAATCATCTATGAAATATTATCCTAACAATTAATTTATTATCATGAATAAGCGACCATTAAATAATTTTCATAATATTTTTTACGTACAATATAAATAATAAAATTATATTGGTTGATATTTTTTCTCGTGTAATTTGGCCAACCATGCCAAGCAGTAATCCTCTCCCTCTTCCTCTTCCTCTTCCTCTTCCTCGAGTGGAGAGACAACTTTGTCTACTTTCTTTCTAATTTGTTGACTTACTTTTTTTCCTTTGGATTCCATGTAAAATATAGACCTCATCTCCAAGTGTTTGTCAAAAAGACACATCCAATCTTGCAATGCTTTTGTGATGCCTTTCTTTCTTCTTGAATTGTGGTGGTTGGGAATCAACCACCCACATCTAATTCCAGGCTGCCACACCTTGCTGTATCCCACCCATTCTCACTTCACAAGTGGATGACAGAAAGAGGGACACAGATTAAAGGTGTTCACATTCTTGCCAGGACTAGTTGATCACTGGTCTCATAAATGCATCATGATCCCCTCTTCCTATCCATCCCAATTAAGATCTATATCTGCCCAAAGAAAAATGAATATAATTGCACCCTTTTTTTTGGTATATTACATTGCCATCCATGTAGTATTTGTTTCATTTTTTTCGTGGTTCTGCTGCTACATGCAATGCTCAAGGCTGGTTTATGAGGGAGGATAACAAATTGGACAACACTGATTCAAGCAGCAGATAGGAAGGATCATGGAATGCTTTTAACACATTTGTTGCCTTATAATTGTGATAGTATGAATATTAGCAAATTGTAAGAGGAATTCTTAAGTAGAGCAGATAGGTCTATAACTTTGTGTTTCATTGCCAAACCCAAGGGAAACTTTTCGGAGATGTTCGATCTTCTCATGTCGTAAGGAATATAAATGAAAGTACCAGATAGAGAATATAACTTCGTGTTTCATTACCGTCCATCGGTTTGATGTTTGCTTTTCCTTCTCCACTAAGCCTGAAAGTGCTGATGGAGTCATTCTCTCTGCTTCCACAGATGGCCTTGTCTGATGGACCTGACAAATAGATTTGCAGCCCAATCCTATGCCTTAACACATCTCAACAAAGTTCTTATACTTACGGAGGGTCGATGCCTATATCTTTGGTATCTGGTGTAAAGCTCAAGATACGCTGAGGCACTACGCCCTCGCAGACTGCGGTTCTTTGCTTGGTCGACACATGAAGGCATCCTCCATACTGTGGTAATGCAGAAGATATCAGTGATCACATCCTTGCTGCATGTCTACTTGCAGTTTTTTATTGGCTGGTCTGCGCTGCTCTCCATGCGGGAGGCGCAGAGCCCTGGCAGAATGCAGCATGGCGAGGTTGGCTTCTTCTTGGATGGGATCTTTTGCCTGGAGAAGCTTATCGTCTTCGGCTATTAAGAGATTTCACGTGTTTAGCAGATATGCATGTGAGATGTAGTAGTATTCGATGCATGTGTATGTATATTTTGAACCCGTCGACCTCTACTTTTGCTGTCCTTTCCACCTCGATCTCTGTAAGCTTAGCTGCCCTCTTTCCTCCGACGAATTATAAAACCGAGCACTATTGGGGACGGCACGATGACCGGAACAAGTCCTCGATGTTGACGAAGTCAAACCTCGAGGGTGCAGCAACGGTGTCTCGGCCGCGCGACCAACCACGGAAAGGTCTCTTTCCGTTGGATGTAAGCCATGGGTCCCACGAACAATAAGCCACCTGTCGCGTGCATGTTGAGCTCCTCCTTGTGAGAGACCCACGGCGAAGTCATCGATGTCCGTCAACTCGGTACGATTTTAGAGCGGAGGAAGAAGCACCGAAGTCGCGTCGCTGCAGCTATTAATGGCTGTTCTCGTCGCTTCGGTTGAGCCTTTCACTATTACAAGTAAACATCCACTCCTGTTCAAGGTCCTCATTCCCTCTTCTTCTCTGTAGCTCTTTGAGATGGCTGGTTCTAGGACGAAATGCATCGACTTCCTCCTCAGTATCCTTCTGCTAACCCTAGTTTTGAGTCAGTATCTTCTGCACATGTTGTAAGATTTAGACTGATTCTTCGGTGACTGGTTGAAACATTGGCGAGTTTTGTGGGTGTCAGATGATGTTGGAAAGGCATCAGCCAAAGCTGAAGATGATGGAAGAGGGCGAGAGCTCGAGGAATATTCCATTCGCCGCCTGACAGGGTCATGGACCCAAAGCTGGAGGAGGCTGTATCTTCCACCACCGCCTGCCGGAAACACGTTCAAGGCACAAGTTGTCCCTTCGCCCCCTCCGCCGTCGCTTGAACGGAGGCCAGAAGCGCCACCACCTTCAGCTATGGCATGATGAGCGCCCACTCTGACTCTGATATGTTCATCAGCCTCGTTGCACTCCTGCACAATCCTCTTTTGGACAAATAGACATGGATGCATGCATGTTTCATAAGTGATTCTAAAGCATCATAGCAGCCAAGTAGATGCTCTAAATCACTCTTTCCTCATGATAATATCACGATACTAAGCTTTCGTCTACAAGTTGGCTCCTCTTTCGTGCTGGGATTCTTGATTTGACTTATATAAATTTCAAGAGTATCCCAAGAAATTCTTCCATGGATATTTCTCATGCTGCAAACGTTTCGCTTTTACAAGACTATGACCTCGACGGACAAAGAAATCTAGGTTTCAGTACTATAAGGCACGCATAGTCAAAAATAATTAGGTGCCGGTCCTTTTCTTGCTCGTCACAACATGGTTGTCACATCGCTTTCAGCGCCATTAGATACATGTTGAATCAGACTGTCTTCCATCGACATGCTTCACAAGTTGTCCATTCCCTACAGGAATTTTGAAGGTGACAATTCACCGAACTCTGTTTTGAGTCACTTGTTTTTATTCCCTTTCTCTTCCTGAAGTATATAATGCATGCCATATTGAAGACTTCAATCGTCGTACTCAACCTTGGTTGTCGACTTATGAAGGAGGAAAGATTTTGGCAGCTCGTCTGGTCAAGTGATTGGAGGTGTTGGTGATTGGGATGGATTTTTCCATTCCAGCATTTTAATCGTCTTACTCTTAAGGAAGCACTCTTTTGGACCGAATTCTTGATGTTAAAGAATAATGTATCCTTCCAAGTCGTTCGATGATCTTTTGATCTTACAAAGATCATCTGATGCACCTACATAATTAGGCTCACAGAATAATGGCCATTCTGGATTTCATGAATATATACATCAGCCAAAGTACATGAACCTACTTCTTTTACTCATCATCTGATTTATCTGAATTGAAATTTAGTTAACACCATACAATTAGGTTCAGCATAGATGCTTATAAACAGCATGACATACCTAATTATATGCAAATAGGAGGAGAAAAGAATCAGGTCCTCATTTTAGAAACGAAAGAAAGCTCCTCTGAAGACATTATTTTCTTCAGTGACATGTATCTGTTGCACGGGTTTCTAATAATAATAACAATAAAAAAGAGAGTAAAAGAGTGAAGTATTCAGCATCCCATGTTTATCTTGCTTTCGTAAACATCAAACACCTGTCCCTTCTCGCTCTAGAAGAGTGGAGATTCCATGGAAAACGTGGAGTATGCCTTCGAAGGATGCTTAAAGATAAACTACTGTTCCTATAATAATCTCACCTAAAGGACAGCAGAATGATCCAACGTGCTTCGGATCGGTACTTTTCGTTCTCGTCTCCTTCCCTCCAGTACTGCAATGGCAGCTAGTTTATAGTGCTCTGTTCTGCATGGGTGTGGTTGGCATGCCTTCTAGCAGGGAAAAGAGAGGCCTCGGTACCGAAAGCAAGTTCTTTCTAATCCTCAGAAACTAAAGCAAATCGTTTCGGTGATGTCCTCGCATCTTTCATGTTGATCTTGTGTGAGTAATGGAATCTTTCTGTGTTAATTATGAGACTTCTTCTTGTGTAGCTTTATGGTGTACCTGCGAGGTGCAGTTTTCAGGTTAAGATAAAAGTTGGAATCGACTCATTTTCTTTTACTTTTTTTTTTTGGTGAATGAATTAAGATAAATATATAGGAATATTAGGTAATTTTATTCAGCTTAATTCACTCCTGGGTTTGATGATAACTATCATGAGTTTTGGATGACAGACGACGCATGAGAAGGCGATCTCTGCAGTACACCTTGTGCAGCAGCAATCGCTCTCTCTCTCTCTCTCTCTCCCCGTCAGTAGCTCTTTGGAGTATAAAGAGGACTTGAGAACCTAGCTTCATCAGTGAGGGGACAAGAAGCACCAAAGGTAGATTAGAAAATGTGTAGAAGGATTAGTGCACGGGTTTGTCCAAATAATTGCTAAACGAAGTGTTCATGTTGCTGGCAAAACATAGTCGTCGGATGATCTATAGATCATTTTGGAAAATAGAAAGATATTAGAGTAACATAAGCAAGCTTACTTTCTCGGCTATTACGTAGTCAAAATTTGGTGCTTATGCCTTACTTAGCCGTCGGTCGCATCCGAGCCCTTCTTACCCAAGACTCACGAATCACGACGCGCTAAAACCTTCCTTTCCCCATGACCCACTGTGCGCATCATGACATGCGAATGACACCCGCATCAGTACTCAGCCCCACCCACCGCCCACCACGTCACATTCCCTGCACCAATCCTCTGGGTCACCTTCCTTTTGGCCTTTTAAATCTCGACCCACGCATCTGCCTTTCTTCCCTTTTCTCGCTCGTTCTCTCTCTCCTCTCCTCTTGCTGCTGTTGTTAGCACCCGTCGGTTGCCGAGATCACGATGGTGCCGCTCGTAAACCAAGCGTCCGTGCTCGTCGGCTTCAGGCCATCGTGGTCTGGTCCAGCGGAGCCCGAGCAGAACCTATCGGCCGTCTCCCCGGACGAGCGGCGGCGGCTCCGCCGCATGATCTCCAACCGCGAGTCCGCCCGCCGCTCCCGAGCGCGGAAGCAACGCCACCTAGAGGAACTCCGCGGCCAGGCGGGCCGACTCCGGTCCCAGAACCACGAGCTAGCGGACCGCCTCGGCGGCCTCGCTCGCCGCTGTCTCCTTCTCCGACAGGACAACGACCGCCTCCGCGCCGAGGCCTCCGCCCTGTGCCGGCGGCTCGCGGATCTCCGCCGCGAGGTGGCCCTCTGCCAGTTTCACCGCCTGGTTGCGCCGCCTCCTCTCGGCGCCCACCACGAGCTAGCTTGGGCATCGTTGATTGTCTAAGCCGTACGATGAAGCATTTGCATGAGGAGCCGGCATCGATTTCCCGGTTCTTTTTCTTCTTCAGTGGCTAGCAGAGGGCGATGTCTTCCCTTCTCAAGGAACGATGAGAGTTGCTTCCACTAAATTTAATTTACTTCATCCTCCTCCTCCTCCTGTTCCTAGAAATCAAATCATATCGCCATTAAGCCGAAGTGAAACTCCAAAATCACATCACGAGTGGACCGGCGACGTACTTGACGAACTTTCTTTTTTCTCTTTTTTTTAATGCTGGAAGTCAACGACGGGGCCCGCATCGACGAGCACAACTTACTCTCACGCCGGAGGTGGATGGTGCCGTAACGAGGTAGAGCGGCTTCCCGTTGGCTAAACGACGTGGGTCCCACATCAACTGTAGCCCCGCATGAACGAAGCCCACCTCACTCTTTCGCCGCAGTGGCTGATCCCCGTGCCACCCGACGCAGCAGAGCGGCCTCCCCGGCCGGGAAGACCATCCCCGCGTTGGGTGGTGGTTGATCATACGTCTTGGCGGACAATAATTAATCAGTTCTATCTGGTGATATAATAATAATAATAATAATAATAATAATAATAATAATAATAATAATAATAATAATAATAATAATAAAAAATTATTATTACTGAATGGATTGCTTCACAATCCAACTTTGGTTTTTTGTTGATCGGCCATCGCAATTGCCACGTCGAAAGAAGAGGAGCATGCCAAATTGTAAATTGAGCTACTCGGCACCATGTTTGTCTTCGATGGTGGTGAAAGCAATGTCCATTTTCCACTTGAAGTCGACATTTTTGGCAGTTTAGAGACCAGTCTAGCTTATTGATGTGATTAAAGTTGGGGTTCTGATATGAATCCCCCTTCTCGTTCCCATTTCATGGCTCCTCTCGTAGCATAAGTCGCAACAGTTCCGATGATTCGATTAACCCACCGTCGTTTAACCGATCATCTCACTTGAATTTAGTAGTATTTTCACTCATTAAAAAATAACATAATATATAATATTCTTCGATATGAGAATGAATGATGACGTGTGGAAGATTATTGATACATCATCAATGTGATCGACTTATTATCCTCCCTGAGCCAAGTCGATGGCATGGAATCAGACGTGTCACTGCAACATAACACTCTCTTTCGGATGACCTGTTGTGAAGCCAACAATGAATGAATGCCCAGTCTGAAGGATAGATATTAAGTTGATGGCAAGAAATCAGACGTGTCACAGATTGATTCGGTCGAACTTTGTGTTACCAGATGACCCGTCAAAGATTAATGTGTGAAAATAATTCGGTGATGTATTATTCACTGCAGGTTTACATCAGCAAGTGTTTTGCTGTCTCTGTGCATCAAAAAGTGGCTTCTTTTGCTACACTTGCTTCTTGCTGAAGTTGTTCTTTCTGCTTCCAATGATAGTTCTTGTTGCTTGTCTCGAAAAAGAACCATTTAATTCACAAGTGTTCCAACATGTATCAGAAGAGAAGTTCCTCTTGTCCAAGCTTTGAAGTCTTTAGCAAGTTGTGGGAAAAAAAGAAAGATCATCTTTTTGACATAAGAGCAGAGTCCATCTTAATGAGATCTCCTTGATCTATTATTATGCTTTTGCAATCCAATAAGATTTCTATATCCTGTTTTCTCCATATTCTATTTCCTCAAGTCGAACCGCATTTGAATACAATCTTCAAGAAGCCTGGTGGTGGGGCAGTGACAAACACAAAAGTCAATTGCCATCTTCCATGGCTAGACTAGAACAAGTAATACACAACAATCCACATGGTTTTTGGATGTTGGTGTTAACAATGCTTCTTTCATTTTCTGATCTATCCATACAGAATATAATTCCCAAAAGAATTCCTGGATGTGTATATATATATATATATATATATATATATATATATGTGAGCTATAATTTCCATATTTCTGGTGGATGATCAAATAAGATACCGCTACCTAATGGCGGTGGCATAGCCCAGCTATGTTTGAGGGGATAAAGCAATTAACTTTCTAGCATTAATTAGCTAATGGGTTTTGCTTCTATTAATAGTTCTTGTGGAACTGAGATGGTCTGCTTGGTGGTGGCCACCATGTCAAACTTGTAGATACGCAAAAGCTTCGAGAAGCCAAGCAGCACAGGTATATGCTATGAGAAATGTTGCTATCAGAAGCAACTTCAACTCAACAATCATCATTGCCCTTCAATATCCGATGAGCAGCTATATACCTGAGCATGTCAATGGTGAATCCACTGTGAACTCATGAAAAGAAGCTCGACTTGACAAAAAAAGATATCTCACGACTTTCATCATGCAGAGGTTTTGATCTATCATGACTTCCGGAAACTTTGTTCTTGCAAGGACAGATTCAGGGTATCCTTGGATGATCAATATGTTGGCCGCTTTAGGGTCGTGTTGTATCCCAAGTAGTTCTTTTTAGCTGTTCCTCCACTTTTTGGTTGACCAACACGAGGATCGGTCGGTGAAGTATGCAAGCTGATCGTGCACCTCCTTGCTCATTCTCTTCATTGATCGTCTTCTAACCTTTGTTGAAAGATTGGAGATTCAAAATATATATGAAGAAAGGTTGAAGGCAGAAACAGTAGTATCTGGGAGAAATGCTATCGAGACCTTCAACAAGACTCACCCCATGACATGCGTAGGAAGAGAAGCCAAGCCAGGCCAAGCTAAGCCACCACCACCACCACCCAAACACAAATCCCAACAACAAATCGGTTCAATCTTTCCTACTTCACACTCTCTTGTCATGGACACATGGTTGCTCCTACAACCCAACAACAAGGTATGGACAAAGGAACAGGTGGGGACAATCGATACTTGCCAAAACTCTCTTTTGGCCAGGTTTTGGGCAATTTGGTGATCCTGTATTCATCAGAGCAGCAGCCTTCCAATCACTGCCTGTGAGCTGGTTTTTAGAGAAGAGAACGATGCTTTCGTTTCAAGGCTTGGTGCAGAATGTTCAGATTTTAATGCATATTATCTGACAGCAGTCCCAGGCTCTGAAAGGCTTGTGAGTCCTTCCAGGTTTGGCTGGTTTCTTTGGGTCACATACACAACAGGGAATGGTTACTTGTTTCTTCTTCCTCTCCATCTGTCTTCCCTTTGGATGCATAGGTCATTCCTCTCACCTTTCTTCTAAGTCTGTAGTAGTAAATCTGGAGGGAAATGGCTTCTGTTCCCAAGCCTATGCATCACGGTATGAGGCTATTTGAGCTGTTGGAAGAGCAACAAGAGCCTTTTCTGCTGGATGTGTACCTTTTGGAGCATGGATACTCGGATAGAGCAGTGAAGACCGATGCTGCTGCGTTCATGTGCTGGCCTGCTGGTGCTTGTAGGAGGCTAAGAAGGCTTAGCACCCATGGGTTCAAGAGGAAGAGAGCTGGGTTTCTCAGGTGTCTGCTGAACAAAGTTGTCTGCAGCAGAAAAGCTTGGAGATGGGATGCTGCAGCTACCGGCATTGGAAGATGGAGACTCTTTGGATCGTTCTTTGAGATGAAAGGCAAAGACGACGCAGCGGACTTCCGCCGGTTATCGTGTTCCGGTGGCACCGACGGAGCTGAACCGGACAGGGAGGAGCAGTGGAGAGCTTTCTGCTCCTCCGATCAGCTTAGTCCTGTGTCAGTCCTGGAGCTGCATTCTGACGAAGGTGGTCTATAAGAAGTTCTTCTCCTTTGCATTACCTTTTGGGTACCTTGTTATAGATTTCAGATACATTGGTGTGGTCTTGTGTTCATGCTATTGCTCCTGATTTCTGCAGTTGGGGATGAGGAGCCATCGATCTCATGCGTTAATTCTTCGAAAGAGACAACGGAAGCTCCATGGATGGGCTTCGAAGAGCAGCTCCACTCTAATCGCCATGACCCTCGACAGGCCAACTACTCAGAATGCCACTTCTTTGAACCACACTATTTTCTACTAGACTGCCGCAAAGAGGCACAAGGAAAGCTTTCGACTTCTCGTGGATGCTCAAGTCCGGAGATCATTCAGGAGGAGATCTTGTCATGGGAGGATCAGAGAGGTGGTTCGGGCAACATATCCCGGTTGATTGATTTCGACTTCTCCAAGTCCAGGGAGGAGTGGAGCCATTTCCAGCATGAGATAGGAGAGGTTGGGATTGAGATGGAACACATCATCTTTGACGAGATCAGAGAAGAAACTGTACTTGATGTTCTACATTGTCACTGTGCACTGGCAAGGTGTTGATTCTAATGAATAGCATCTAAGAATTTTACTTGCTTACATTAAACCTCTAAGCATGATGCCACAGGCAGAGACAAAATCCTTGCTTGACTCCAGGTGTTGATTCTATGCTGAGTTGAAGGTTATTGTGAAAAATTTGTACTTTATTTAGGTGACAATAATAAGAAAGACTTGCTGGTGTTTCAGTTCATCAGAAGGATGCCTATTTAGTAGTTCCTGACGAAGAGATTAATAAATTTGGAGCTGGACACTGAAATGTCAGCATCTTGTGTCAGAACAAAAGCAATGTAATCGGCGGCACTGAGGACCGCAAAGTGACTCAACAACATTAGATCACTGTCGTAACAAGAGCCAGGATCGAAGAACCGAAACAAGTTGCTGAAAGATGAAGCTCAGGGAGGAGAATGGCAGAGACATGAGAGTTTCCATTGGAGTGCCATGTTGTACTGGTGCAGCAATGGTTGGTTGGTGGAACAGAGTTATTCGGACACTGGATGGCCCATGGTTCCATCAGATCATGTGCATATCGATTACATGAGATAGATGAAAGATGTATGACGATGTTGATGCCTTGGACCAGTGCTTCTGTTGCCACTGTTCTGAGGACATTTGTGGTGATACCAAGCTCGCGTTTCATTCCTTGATCTCGAAAAATAGATAGTTAAGGTGGTGGCGCATGTCTACTTGATAAGGAACCATTTGGTCGATCGATCACCAATCATTGGTGCGACCCGTAAACTCAAAAGGAATTGTTCATCTCTAAAAGTAAGAGATATTCGATGAACTTATGAGCTTTTGATTCCTGTACTTCTCAGTAAAACTAAATGATCTTATCAATAGTAGTAGACAAACAGTCAGCTTCTCAGAATCCAGGAAACCGAATCAATTGCCATCAAAAGTCCTCAAAGCTACCATTTCATCCTCATCACACTGAAGAAGCAGAGAAATCTAAAGAAAGACTGAC